CCAATTCTCCTCTCCAGATTCTTCCAACTCAAAATAGATATTACAATAAATAAATAAAATAACATGAAGTACTCACACTGAGACTGGCAACTCAAATCTGTATTCAGCGATTATGTAGCTAACCATTTTCAGATTATCATTCAATAGAGTAACAAAGAAACAGTGCAATAAAAAATAATCTTAGGTAATCACTGTTTATAAAATAAATCCCTATATCCATCTAAACAATGTAGAAAATTTAAACTGGAATATGTTTTGTACCTCTATTTAGTGCTTTATTAATGAAGTGACCACTCTGCTTGACCTATTTGCTGAAATTCGCCAGAACTCCAGGAGACCATATGGACTGCCAGATGGGCTGCTATAATGTAGTGCCATTATCGTAAGGATGAAGTAAGGGATAAACACAATTTGCATTCTTTTCCATCCTTGCTGCATACCTTTTATTAGCTTCATTTTTAATTCAGACATCAGAAGGGAAGATAATACCTTGCTACCAAGGCCCAGATGCCAACTAATTACTACAAGATACTTCAGCCCTGAAATCACAGGCCAGGCCTCTGAACACACTCCATCTTACCCAGTGACCCCACTGTGGTGATTAATAGGTTGAGTGCTAAGTCCTAATGAGCATGTCAGATCTTAGATGTTCTCACTGCTAACATAATTAACATATGTTGAACAGTGTATTTATTTCAGTCACTTGGTAGAAAGATACTGTATGCTTTGTAGTAAACTATATGCCTTTTCACTTACAGTCTTTGAACTTATTTTATAATCATCAACTTAAAAGGCCTCTGTGGATATAGATCTTTCAAATATTGGAGGAAAATTAAATATTTCTAAATCAACTATTGATTTTCTTCTATATCAGTGAGTGATACATTATACAGAAAGTGAAGGGGTTTTCAGAGGTGCTTGTTAAAATATTTGAAATGCCATCTTTCACTTGATAAGGATGAATTTGGGCTAAGGTCCCAAACTCTGTATTTTCAATAAGGTCCATGATTCAGAAGCACATGGTGTCATCTGAAAAACACACTGCAGTGTGAGTTAACAGGACCAGTATCTGTGTCTTGAATATCTATCAGAATTTTTGCTCTAAATACTTACTATGTTTCTTTAAAAAAAAAATCTGTATCTCCATTATTTCTTGATAAAAGATTATACATCAGTAATCAAGATAAGACAGGCATGCCATTGGCAACAAACCATGTAAGTGTGTGAGATCTCCATTCAACAATGGCTATGGAAGGCAGTAACATCTCTATCCAGTAGGTTAAAGCCTTGAAATTGCTTTTCCAGATTTAAGGGAAAGGTCAAAGAGCAACAGAATTTCTGCAATTTCTGACTTCTCTCCAAGGCCAGAGACAACATATGAAAATGCTTCATCCAGATGACTAAGGACTTTAGGTAAAATCCCAACTGTTTACTTGGATCTCACCTAGATGTTATTATTATCAATTTCTATATAAACTATGTATTTCATTTGTCTAGCATTGCTTTCTTAAGGACAGCTATAAAAATTCATGTTACCTTTAATTTAGACATATTTTATTCAATTTTTATCCTAAACCTTTTAAGATAGTTTTTTTTTTTCCCCAAAATAAATAATTTAACAAACTACCATACTCTTGATGAACTTCAAGAGTTCTCTTCGCTGTTTTTTTCAAGTATATACCCTCTAAATTAAAAATAGGCAAGAGTAACATGAGAACATTTATTGGATGACAAGTATATATTATGTGTGCTATTGAGTTGATTCTGACTCCTAATGACCTTATAAGGGCAGAGCAGAACTGCCCCATAGGGTTTCCTAGGCTGTAATCATTATGGGAGACTGCCAGGTCTTTTCTTTCACAGAGTGGCTGGTGGGTTTGAATTGCCAACCTTTTGGTTAACAGCTGAATGTTTCACCATTTCCCTACCATGGCTCCTTAAATATAGGTTGTTGTTGTTGTTTTGTGCCATCAAGTCTGACCCAACTCATAACAACCACCCCTTGGGTTTCTGAGGCAGTATCATTACAAAAGTAGATTGCCCAACCTTTCTTCAGAGGAGTGGCTGGTGGGTTTGAATCACCAGCCTTCTGGTAAGCAGTCAAGTACCATAGGAACTACACTACCACAGCTCCCATTACTTAAATATATAGGTATTTATCTATCATAATTAGATATTGAAAGTTCATAGTTTCAGAAAATTAATCATGTCTTTATTCATTCTAATAGTTCTTTTTTTTTTTTTTTGAGATAGAGCCAAGGTATAGAGACTATCATATGACAGTGGCAAATCTATAAATACATCCTGCAGAATGATTGTTGGAATATCAATCTCTATTTGGGACTGGCTCAGTGCTATCCAGATTCCTTTCCTCTGCTAGGAATCCTGAATTTGCCATCATCCCCAACCCTTGCATCTAGGTTGGGCAATATTAGAGGTCTGACCCATGACATGTATCTAGAAATGATGCATAGTCCTCCCAGGCCTGGTTCCTAATATTCCATATGATCTTTCTCATACTCTGCCTTTACTTTATGGCCACCCAGATGGAACAGATTCAAACACCACCACAAAGCCTTAGGTGATGACATAGCTACAAAATAAAATACTGCTTGAGCAATAAACATGTACTACCTTAAGCCACTGGGACTTTGATGTTGATTGCTTAATACTAATAGTCAATTAAGACTTGACTTATTAAAAAAAAAATACTGATTTATGTTTTTCTTATGAGCCAACCATTATATCATAAATATATAGAAGCTGAATTCAAAAATCAGTGGACCTACATGAATTCCTTAGAGGAATCTGTTTCAGCTGTACTTTAGAGGGAAGAAAAAATTACATATCTTAACATTAGCATATTTAGTAACTCAGGCCTAGATGACTTTGTGTGTTGTTCTAGCAAAGCACTATTAAAGACCACCTGATTCATGGGACAGAGGAGCAAGACCTGCTGCACAATAGCCACTGATTCTATTTGTCATAATAAATATCACAGCTACAACCCTGAAAGCAACTAGCTAAAGGAGAATCTCACAAAGGGTTTTAAAAGCAAAATTTTTCAATGGCATGTCCAGATAACACTGTAAAGACACCTTTTGCTAATGGAAAGAACAGTTCATCTGTTTAACCTAACTAAAATGGTAAGATAGACATAAGCTAGACACAGAAAAGATCTGATATACAAAGTGAACAACACATACTACCACATGTATACACACACACATAAAGAAAAAACAGATTATTGCATGATTAAATTTTTAATTTAATAGTATAGTAGCATAGTAAAGAAAAAATATTCTAAAGAAAAAATTATTCTGTAAAAATCAAATGACTGTAGTGAGGGTAGCAGACAAGTTACTATATTGCAGTGGAAAGAACAAGGAATCAGGTCTTCAGAAGGCCTGGTCTAGATTTGACCTGCCACTTTCTAGGTGTAAAGAAGGAGTTTGGAGAAAGGTAGAAGAAGACAGTGATTAAATGCTTAGATTCTTAATTTCTATCTGCCATTAGTGAGTTATTTAACTTGGAGGAGCTATTTTATCTCTTTATTTTTTCAGCTGTAAAGTGAAGAGATCATACTTATTTCACAGGTTGTTAAAAGGATTAAGTCATATCACCTAATAATCATTTAGAGAGGCCCTAGTCAAGCATAAATGCTATCAACTATTGGGTATTATTACTAATGTTATGTCTCCAAAACTATGAGTCATATTATCCTTACCTTTAAAATAAAATATTGTATTAGATTATCTGCATGATTTCTTTAAGTTCTTCTATTCTATACATGTCTCTTACTGTCAAATATCCACTTGAAAATTAAAAACCATAAAACCTGTATATTTTACTTAATAACTTAAAAAAGAAATCTACAGGACAGTCTGGTCTACTGTTTGATTGATTTAAAGATCGGTGATATAAGAATGCACTAATAAACAGAGTATTTTTAAAACTCAGAGTTGAGATAGTATTTTGATTCATTCATTAACTCTCATGACTCATACACTCATCTGAACATGGAATGTAACAAGATAATAGTCCAGTAACATTTAAATAAAAATATATCATAATTAACTTATCTCCTATAGAGATGGGCCCAAAATATACATGATAACACTCCAATTTTGCAGCTTAGGTTCAAGTGCACTCTAGACTTATAAGCTGTCAGCAACTTGAGTTTCTTTCTCATTTAGAAGAAAACATTTCTACCAGCTGTAGAAATAGTAAGAAATAATATCGCTCATATTATACAGACTTCTTTCCAAACTAAATGAAAGGTATCTCCCTTCAAAATTCGATACTTTAGTAAATCTTGACTTGTGCAAATAAATGTTCATTCAAATAAATACTATGGTTAGAGTTAGAATCAATGTTCAAGATGTTTATTTACTAAAAGAGTTAAAAATTCAGTTCCAATTATACTTTCACAATTTGTTTTAAGTGCCTAAAATATGAAAACAGAGCTTTAACGTACCAGGACATTGCATGTAGAGCAGAGTAATTGTTTCTTAATACTATTTATTAAGAATTTATTAGAATTCTATTTATTCCAAAGAACCTTACCTCCTGCGTACATAACAGCCAGCATGATGGAGGATATCCATGCTATTTCACTGTAGGACGTGTTGAATATTTCCTGAATTTCTTTGAAGAATACTGTGACAGCTTTGGGGAATGCATATGAAAATCCAATGGAGATAAAAGATGCTCCAACAACAACCCAACCCCATCCTCCATCTGGAGGTGTATAGTGAAGTTGTGTCTTTCCTGGTGGTGAAGGCATTTCTGCTCCTCTATTTTAAATTCAGTAACCTATTTAAAAAAGAAAGAAAGAAAAGAAACAAATTTAAACTATATTTCCATTCTTTATATTATTCTTGATGTTGTTGTTATGTGCCGTCAAGTCGGACCCGACTCATAGCGACCCCTCCTTGGGTTTCCCAGGCAGTATCACTACGGAAGTAGATTGCCTCATCTTCCTTCC